ATTGAAATATTTCACAACACATTTAAAAATAACTTTTTAACAGGAGTGAATGGTTGGGATACACAAGATATTTGCCAGCTGCAAAAATCACCATGTACAAACTACAAAAAGGAAAAAAAAATAAAAGAAAAGTCTTTTTAATGGAGAAATCTGGCAGGCCCTCCTTAACCACAGAGCCAAACTCAGCCATCACTATTATGGGCCAACCTGACCTTATTCACCTCCCGGGTAACGCTATTAACAGCATCACCTGCAAAGTATTCTTCCCTAGGACACTTAAGCTCCAGAAACCACCAGAACTATACTGTCCAACCTAGGAGCCATTAGTCATTTATAGCTATTGATGAATTAAAATGTGACCAGTCTGAACTGACATATTCTGTAAGGATAATATGCACACCAGATTTCAAAGACTTCATACCTCCCTCAAAAATGTAAACTATCTCATTAATATTTTTATATCGATTACATGTTGAAATGATATAATTTTGGATATTTTGGGTTCAATAAAATAGATTCTTAAAATTAATTTGCCTGTTTTTTCTTACTTCTTTAATGTGACTACTAGAAAAGTTTAATTACGTATTCAGCTCACGTTATATTTGTTTTGGACTCTGCTGCTCTAGACAGAACAAATAGCTTACACTCTGTAGAGGGAATGAAGGTGCAGGTAAACAAGAGCAAGGGGAGACAATCAGACAAGTCAAGAACTTACAAGACACCTGCCCTAGACTTTGAAAAGTCAATGTCATAAAAGAAAAGAAAAGAAGCTGTCCTAGATTAAAAAAGGCTAACAAGATATAACAGCCAAATGCAATGCATGGGTGTTGATTAGATCATGAATTTTTTTAAAGTTTTCTTAAAGACATTTTTTGAGACAACCGGGCAAAGTTAAATACAAGCTGAATATTAGCTGATATCCTAGAACTACTGTTGATTTTCTTGGGTGTGATAATGGTGTGGTGGACATGTGGGGGAACGTCCTTATTCTTAGCTGATTCCTGCTGAGGTTTTTAGGAGTGAAATGATATTAACATGTTTAAAATTTTTAATTTATTTATGTTTTAATGGAGGTGCTGGGGATTGAACTCAAGACTTCGTTCACGCTAAGCATATGCTCTACCACTGAGCTATACCTACCCCCCGTATTAATATTTGCAACTTATTTTCAAGTAGTGTGGCAAAAGAGAAAGTATGTGTATGTGTGTGTAGAGACAGAATAAAAGCAAATTTAGCAAAATGTTAGAGTCTAGAAATATTTAAGAGTATTCATTGCATTAATCTTTCAACTTTTCTGGGTTTTAAATCTTTTATGATGAAAAGTTGGGGAAACAAGACAAAATAAAAAAAGGAATGAATGGAACATGAGGATGTGGAGCCCACCCTTTCAAGAAGCTTGGGTTGGGGAGGGTATAGCTCAGCGGTAGAGTGCCTGCCTAGCGTGCATTGAGCTGCTGGGTTCAATACCCAGTACCCCTATTAAAATAAATGAGTAAAGTTAAAAAAGAAAAAAAAGTGTTTTTCAGTTTGGAAAAAAAAAGTTTGGTTGGCCTGGCACTGGAAGTCATAGGGGACAGTAGCTACAGCAGATCAAGGAAAGTGTTTTTAAAAATGAAGCCAATTTAAAAAAAAACAAAATGAAACGTTGAGAGGGTTTAAATGCTTAATGGGACGAAGCCAGTAGAGAGGCAGAGAATGAAAGATACGGGTTGTTCTGGTCAAATTTCTCATGCCTGGGGATAGACTTTCTGAGAGAGTCAAGACATCCCCCAGAAATACTCTATATGAGCCCCCACCTCCTCTCTCCCTCCTCTAGGCCTCCTTCCTACCAAGCTTGGTGAGAACAGAATCTTGGTGGTGACACCTAGTGGATTCAAAGGGCACTGCTTAAATTCTTCACTGCCTACACCATGTTCAAGAGGGCATTTTATTACACCTGAAACTAACACAACATTGTAAATTAACTATACTTCAATTAAAAAAAAGTTGAGAAGGGAAAAGACAGAACCTTCGAGAGAGGAGAAAATTGGTGGGCAGCTTCTTGTTCTTAAAAAAAAGCCCAAATGGTGAGAATTTGAACAGAGATAAGGAAAGGACAGGGATTCTTTATGCTCAAGGAAACAAAAATCTATTTAAGAAAATAAAAATTCCAAAGAACCGACAAGTCAAAAAAAAAAGAGGGCATCTTAGTATGCTGGTCTTCTGACTACTCCAAATTATTTTCACCCTTTTGTTCACTGCCAGACCAGTCTAGAGAGTGCAATGTTCCTGAGCAAGCTCATCCTCTCCCCACACAGCCCACAGAGCCCTTTGACCACTTCTTGTGTCATGATAGGCAGCTCTCAGAGCCCAGCAATGCCTCCCAGTGCCTCATCCCTGACTTCCTACTTCCACGCTTTGGTCAGCAAACCGTTTGCCTACTTCAGGACCTGGGACATCTCTTCCAAGAAGCTTTCTCTCATTATCCCCCACCCCCAGCCCCAGACTAGTAGTGAATCTCCTTGGCTTAATTCCTAGAGCACTCATCATCTTGTGTCTTGTCCCCCTCTTACAGCTCCTATTTCAAACAACCTCATTGATTCATTCGGCAAATATGTATTGAGTGTCTCCTTTGTGCGAAGTACTATTCCAGGTTCTGATGAGTGAACAAGGAGCTCACTTTGGTAGGTGAGGAGTAAGCACAGAACAAAAACACAGAGAAGTATAGATGATGTCAGGGAGTGATGAGGGTATTGAGGAAAATACAGGAGGCTGAGGGGATAGAGAGTGGGGGTGGAGGGGAGGATAGGAATAGTCAGGAGAGGCTCAGGGAAGAGCAAAGGTAAAATCTCTGAAACATAAATGAGTGTTATGTATTTTAGGAACAGTAAAGCAGTCAGCATGGTTGGAGTAGGACAAGGGAGAGGAGGAAGAGGAGGTGAGGTCAGAGAGGAAGGACTTTTTTTTCCAGCCTTTTAAAGAATTTTTTCTTTTCACAATATTGATATACAATGTTGTTAGTTTCTGGTGTACAGCATAGTGATTCAGTTATACATATATAAATATCCTTTTTCATATGTTTTTTCATTATAATTACCATAAGATATTGAATATAGTTCCCTGTGTGTACAGTAGGACAGATGATTGGGTAAAGAAATTGTGGTATATATATACAATGGAATACTACTCAACCATAAAAAAAGAAATAATGTCATTTGCAGGAACATGGATGGACCTAGACATTATCTTACTAAGTGAAGTAAGTCAGACAGAGAAAGACAAATATCATATGGTATCACTTATATGTTGAATATATACAAAGCAGAAACAGAGTCACAGACCTAGAAAACAAACTTATGATTACCAAAGGGGAAAGTGGAGAGAGGGATAAATTAGGAGTTTGGGATTCGTAGATCCAAACTACTATATATAAAATAGATAAACAAGGAGAGGGAGGATTTTGATTTTTAATCTAAGTGTTATCAAAAACAGAGGAGTGTTATGATCGGAATTGTTTTAGCTGAGATGTGACATTACAGTGAAATGAATAAATATCACAATTCAGTGAAAACACACACACATGTGTAGTCATGCCCAGGTCAAGATACAGAACATTTCTATCACCACAGAGAGCTTCTTCATGTCCCTTTCTAGTCAATACTCTGTTCCACCCCATAAGTAACCACTATTTTTATTTCTATCCCCATAATTTTACCTGTTTTTGAACTTCTCTAAACAGAATTATACAGTGTGTAGTCTATGTGTCTGGCTTCTTTTACTCAATATTATGTCTGTGAGATTCATTTAGGCAAGTAATAGCTGTTTGTTCCTTTTTTATTGTTATGTCATATTCCATCATAAGAATATACCACAATGGATTTGTCCATTCACCTGTTAAATGGTTTTTTCCAATTTTTAAATCATGAATTAAACTGTTAGGATCACCATTGTACCTGTCTTTTGGTGGACATAAGCACTGATTTCTCTTAGCTATACACCTAGGAGAGGAAATGCTAGGTCACAGGTTCAGTGTACGTTAAGTTCTAGTAGATATGACCAAACAACTTTCCAAACTGGTTGTACCAATTTACACTCCCACCAGCAATGTATAAAAGTTCCAGTTGCTCCACATCCTCACTGATACTTAGCATCATCCCTCTCTCTGATTTAGGTTTGTAAAGGAGCACGCCAGCTGTAGTGTAGGGAACCCACTGGTGGGGTTAGGGGTGGGTTGGAGAGAGGAAGCTGAGAGCCCAGATAGGAGGCTAGTGCAGTTGTCCAGGGAAGACATGAAAGTGTTTTGGAGTGGGTGGTAATAGAGAGGTCTTAGAGAAATGCACCAATTGGGATATGTGCTAGAATTGTAGCCGACGGGCAGGCCGATGAGATGAGTGAGGGATGAGAGAAAGCGGTATGAAAGGTGAGTCCTAGATTCTCACCTGGAAAACTTGAGTGGATGAGAGGACCATTTTCTGAGATGCAGAAGACTGAGAGAATAACAGATGCAGGACAAGCAAAGGTCAAGGGCTCATGTGTACCTGCTGGAATATACAGTGTCTCCTGGAGCTTAGGCTCTAGATGCCCCACATCTTAGTATAACTGGTAGATACTGGTGTGCAGAGTACATGCTGTCTGGGTAGTGCCTCGTGAACATGCATGCCTTTTTCAGTGGACAGATCTGGGTTAGGGGCCCCATCCTGCCTCCTTGCTCACCCTGAATCTTGGACATTGTGCTGGGACTGCCTGACTTCCGCCTTCCGACCTTCCAGGGTTAGAATTAAACAAGATCACATATCCATGGCACCTGGAACATGGAAGAACTAGGACACTCACCCTTCCAAGTTCCATGCATCAGGTGGCATGTCTTATGAGGCTAGCACCTTTTCCTCTCACCCACAGTTTCAAAGTCACTCCGGAATAACCCTCCTGAAGCAGCCTGGAGCCCTGAGAGCCCTGGTTCCCTCTCCCCTTGCTTGGCCCTGCCTCAGCCTCAAAGAAACAGAATGGAGAACAGCAGGCAGGTGGATTCATAGACTTTATGGGCTTTTACTCCACCAGGAGGCTCTGCCATGGCAAGCGCGCCTGTACAGTACACACAGTTCACTCTGTTAAAGCTGTGGGGCATGGGAAGGGTCCGGGAGGCCCCTGGGAGGCAGCTGGGCAGGCGTCAAGGGAGGGGCGGGCAGCAGCCAAGACTGGCCCAGTGGGCCCCAGGGTGCGGAGGGCGGTGAGGGCTGGAGTGCAAGAGGGGTCAGGAGGAAGGGCGGCTGCAAGGAGAGGAGGGCCATCAGCAGTAGCAGGAAGGAGGCAGGGAGCCGGAGGGAGCACGGTCATCGTCTTTAAGGGGTGGCAGGGGTGGGACACAGCGCCTGTGGATGGGTTGGGGGCGGGGAATCCGCCGACATTTTCTGCGGCTGGAACACGAGGGACCGCTGTATAAAAGGGACTGTACAACATAACCTATGATACACTGTTTACATATGATACAAGGCTCTTTCCCTCTTTGGGTTTTAAAAAATAAGTGTACAATTTCAGAGCTTTTGGTAAAAAATATATACACCCTCAGAGCAGGAGCAGCAGCTGCTTTGGCGGCAGCAGCTGCTGCCTCTTCAGAAGGGGAAGAGGTGGTGCCAGAAAGGAGGGTGAGGCTATACAAGGAAATCTCACCCCGTAGCTGCCAGGAGCCCCCGCGCCCCTCAGTCCTGGAGGCCTGTGATGGGAGACGGAGGGGAGACCGAGACGTAACAGGCATCACCAGAGTCCAGTTTTGCCTTTCCAGTCTCTGCCATTCCCTCCCCCACTTTTTGGAGCTGCTTGCCCGGGTACAGGGGTCCACCCCAGCTCTGATGGGAAGGACCAAAGGGGAGTCAAGACAGGGAAAAGATGGAGACTGTGTGTTGGTATCCCACAGAAGAGCCAGAAGGGAGAAGACAACTCCCTTCTTAGTAGTGAGACACCCTAAAAGCAGGAGTCTGGGCAGCAGGCACCCGGAACTCCTGATCATACCACACCTCACCCCACTGCAATGCAGAGGGAGGGTCCTGTGGGCAGCTTCGTCCTGTGTTTCCCTGAGCATCTTTCCTCTCATCGGAGCCCACCCAGGGAGCTCTGGGAGGCCTGAGTGGGGGACTTGGAAGGGCTTCCTTCCCGCTGCTGCTCCTTGCCCTCATGAGCAGCTTCGTCCACACGTCTGGGTGTGTAGGGCAGCAGAGGCGGTGGGCAGGGAGTGGTGGGGGTAGGGAAAGCACCCCGTACTATCCCAGGACCAGAGTAGACAAGGGTAGCACCAAACAGAAGGACCCCCCTCCCCAGCACACACACACACCTTCCCTCAATGACCAGATACCTTCCTGCTCTTCAAAAGGGGGCACACTCACGCACGCACGCACGCACGCACAAGGGCATGTGATATTCAGGAATCCATCTAGGGGTCCCATCCCAGACTAGGGAGAAGCTGGGGAGGTGGTGGACAGGAAGGCTGCCAATCCCTCCCACAATTCCGCTCTGCAAGATGGGAGGGTGGGCAGCTCTCCGGCCTGCTTGGGAAGAGGAGGTTGGCTGGGAGCTGCATCTCCAGAATAGATCTCGCTGGGAGGGGCCAGAGGAAGGAGCTCTGCGGCCCCTTTCCCCAGGGAGGGCAGAACCAGCAGGGTGGCTTGGTTTGAAGGAGCAAGGGGGAGAGTACTTCAGCAGGATGAACAGGCTTATGAGTCCAGGAGTAAGTCCACCCAACTCTTTCCCTTGGGGGCAGGAAGTTGCTCCCAGGGGAAGATGTCAGACGTGGCTTGGGATGTCGTGCAAAGTGCTTGAGTACCAGGTGCCCGAGGACCCTGGTGAGGGGCTGACCAGAGCCTCTGTGCTCACTGACTATTGGCCTCCAGCTTGTAGGAAAGCTCGAAGAGGAGGTTCTGGTTGTCAATGACCTGGAACTGGCGCACATAGGCCTTGGTCTGCAGGTGATGGGGGGACGCCTCCATTTCAAGGCCTAGGGGTGTGAGGAGAGAGAGGCGGTCAGGGGACCAGCCTCCCTTCTTCCTCTACACACATACCAGCCAGAGGAGAGGGATGCAGACTGGGATGCAGGAGGGCCCCTGGGGAGGCCAAGGAGAGAATGGAGAAACAAGTTTAAGGAAATAAACATTCGAGTGGGGAGTTCTCCCAGGAACCCTCCTATTCAGTCAAAGCTCTACCTGTAACGCTCTCAGAACCCTGGGTACTCACAGAGGGGCCGGCTCCGGTATTTGCGGACTGTCCTCACCTTCTCCGCCACTGAATGCTGGGGGATGACAAGGCATGAGCCTCGAAAAGGGCATAAAAAGGTGCTCGCTGCTCTTCTGCCCCCTCCCCCTCCCTCAACCCCCAACTTTTTTCTACTCCCCCTAGTCCCCAACTCTGGAGTGTAACGGGGTGCCAGGTGAGGGGGAGGTCGAGTTGTCCCCCACCCTGAGCTGATGCTTTGCCACCTGTGAGCAGGTTGCCACAGAGACACCACTGGGGAGACACTCAGGAGTTTGTCAGGCAAGCTGGGTGCCAAGAGAAATGCTGCTATCTTTCAGGGGGTGCCAGAAGAGGGAGAGGATGCCAGCCCCCACTCACCAGGACTGGGGTTGGCAGTGTCACTCACCAGCTTCTCAATGTTCACCAAACCATCTACAAGGGTCTTACTCCCCTCGTGCAGGAAAGTCAGGTCTAGGGACGGGAGAGAAGCAGGTGGATAAGAGAGGAGGTTCCCCTCCCCCAGACCACACTCCACACGTGTGGAGGGAGCTTCTTTCTAGGTGGGTGTATGCAGAGCTGAGTTGAGCGGGGATTGAGGGTCAGAATGGGGCACGGAGAGTGTGGAGAGAAGAACACAGCTTGGAAGTGACTCACCTTTGAGGATCAGAGGCACGAAAGGAATCACAGGGGGCTTCATCTTGGAGATCACTTCTCGGTAACTTTTGTGGTTCCTGCAGGGGTCCTAGTGTTCAGTAAAAGAGGGACAAAGGGACAGATAGGCTCAGTGTACCCCAAAGTCATCCCCCACTCCCTCCCTCATCCCACTGCCCTAGATACACCTAGATCAGATAGGTGTGTAATTGGACATGTAGCGGGGGGTGCGCTGGGCAGGGGCTTGATTGCTCTCCCCTCCCCTCCAAGGATAACAAAGTAGCAATCTCCCCATTCTCCCCTTCCAGCATGTTGGGGAGGAAGACAGGGAGGGTCCCAGGCACTAAAAACTTTGAAAGGGAGCCTTGAGGTTTATGGGAACAGTCTCTGGGGTGCCGGTCCAGGGGCAGTTAAAAGAGCCAAACCCACTCACTGTCAGGTTCTCAAATTTGCGGAACAAGTTCTTGAATTTCCCTGGCAGCTTCTGCAGTGTGAAGGAAGGAGAAGGGACATCAGGGGGGGAGCTCCTTTGGTTTCATGGGATCTCCTGACTAATCCCCATGGGTTGGAGGGGGAAAGGGCCTGAGTGCCTTGCAGCCAGCTGGGAAGCAGGCAGGTGGGGAAGTAGAGCCAGCCCTTGGCTAGGTCTGGGGGACTTGAAGTGGCCCAGAGGGACGAGTTATTCTGGGGAAATGGAGGCTTCTGCTGATACAAGTGCCCGTACAAAGGTGCCTCCCTGGGTGCTGGCTGAAATCCAAGAACCAAGTATGCGACCTGGCCTGGGCTGCCTGCTCCTCTCCCTCCTCCACAGGCACAGAATCCAGCTCTTCATGAATCTCCATATGGACGGGGTCCCTTAGCCTTGCTGTGTGCCCTGGGGCTGTCTCTGCCAGAAGAGGGCGCCTCCCTCCAACTGGCACAAAGCCCTAGAGGCGAGCAGCGGTCCAGGAGGCCGCTCTAGGGGGGAGCCCAGAGTGTCAAGGCTGAGGCTGGAGGCCAAGATCCCCGAGGTGGGCCCGCACAGGTGGGAGGAGCGGAAAGGGAATAAGTCTCATCACCTCCCAGGTGAGCCTCAGGCGACTGACCGCGGCGTTGTCCAGCCCCATGACCACGGCGTAGAAGGACAGCAGGTCCTGGTTCTGCTTGCAGCTGCAGGGGCGGGAGGCGGGGTCAGTGGGCGGTCCGGTGGCCGCGGCCTCCCCGCTGCGCAGCCCGCCGCACTCACATGGCCGCGATCTTGATGAACTTCTTGAGCAGCTGCGCGCGCTTGCCCGGGGCCTCGCAGAGCAGCACCTCGGTGGCCACCCAGTGCGTGACCTCGCTGCAGCGCTGCAGCAGCAGCTCCAGGTTGGCCGTCTCCCGGCGGCCGCGCTCCCCGTGGAACACGTAGTCCACGAATTCCAGCTGCACCCACGGCGGCGGCGGAGGGGCCGCCAGGGCGTGGGGGGTGTGGGTGGGAAGATGGCAGTGAGAGGCGGCCAGCCGGGAAAGGCAGGAGGGCGGGGTCGGGACGGGTGGAAAATAGAAAAAACGGGGACAGGACAGGATGCAACAGAGATGGGGGGAAAAAACAACCAACATTAATAATACTCTACTGTCTACTGAACACTTACCAGGTGTCAGGCGCTTGAACCATCTGATCGACATTATTGTCGCTGCCTTCTTTTATTTAATAACGAATATTTTACAAATACTAACCACGGGGTCAGGTTTGAGGTAAGCAGCACCTGGGCCCTGAACCAAACTCCTGTGAAGTGGAGGATGGGGAGCTCTCTCTTTGCTTTTTTTTTTTTTTTTTCCCAGATAAAGGGACAAAGGATTAGAGAAGTTCTGGCGGTTCATTGCCCCAGGGCATGTAGCAAGAGAGCGTCTTCACCAGGAAGTTCAGCCCAGACGCTGCCTCCCTCCAGGCCCTCAGCCCAGCTCCAGCCTCCATCCCTACCTCGTGCACACAGCGGAACAGCTCCCAGTGGAAGGCCGTAAGGTGGTTGGCAACGTCCTCAGGCTCCCCTCGGTGGATCTCTGTGTCTCCAGGGGAGACCTGAATCTCCTCCGGGAGAGGCACCTGGTGGCAGGCAAGGGCACAGGGGCTGGGCTCCACTCTGAGCTTGTGAGTTTCTGCTCCCAGCCCCTCTCAGCCTTTGCTCCTAGCCATGGCCTTGGGAAGGTGTTCTTACCAGGGCCTCATAGCTGTCTCGGGTGCAGGCGAACAGGTGGCTGTTGATGCCCAGCGTGGTGAAGACACAGTCTTCGGTTGGCTGGAGAAGGACCTTCTCTGCAGGAGAACAAGCTGCTCTGCCTCAGCCCCACCAGCCGCACCCTCACACACCCCAGCCACTGCTGCTGTCCCGTCCAGACACATTCTAGACTAATGGGATTCATATTATCACCAGTTTATGCCATATTTATCTGACATTTTCCAAAACAATTACTTTTACATTTATAACCTCCATTTTGCTCCCAACATTTTTTCTTAATGGATGTACTGGGGATCGAACCCAGGACCTCGTGCCATGCTAAGCATGTGCTCTGCCACTGCACTATATATACACCCCTTACCAACAGTGTTTACAGCTCTTCTCTCCTGTCATCCTTGATTGCACTGGGAAAGCAGAGATTTTTTCCTTAGAGGAAAATAAGGCTATGACTATATTGCAGGCTTTTTGCTTTCCTATCAGGATGGCCCACCCTGTGTCTTTAGCCTCAAAAATGTAGCACCCTTAGACGCTGGAGGAGGTTAAAGGAGCAGATCCCAAGGTGAATAAGAGGCAGGCACCCAGATCAGCATCCAAGTGTCCTGGACCAGTGCTTCCCCAACATCCCTGTGCATAGGAATCACCTGGGGGCCTTGCTAAAATGCACATTCTGATTCAGCAGGTCTGCAGTGGGGTCTGAGATACTGCGTTTGTAGTAAGCTCCCAGGTGATGCTCCTGGGGCTGGTCCCAGGACACACTTTGAGTAGCCAGGGCCTAGAATTCAGTATTTACCTTTGCCCCAGAGTACTGGGCTTGGCGTTTCTCTTCTTGTGGCCCCCCAGCCCAGCTCTTTCTGACCCTCACCTCCTGAGGAGGCCACAGCTACCAGGATGAGGGAATCCTCGCGCCCTGCAGGCTCCTCTGAATACTGCAATTTCTCTGTCACAGAGCCCAGAATGTCCTGCACAGATGCTGAGAGGCGGCTGCGTATGGTCACATAAGAGTGGTCAGGCATGTAGACCCGGCAGAAGACTGGATAGAGACCGGAAGGTGGCTTTGCATCAGAGGATAGAATGGCAATATTGGCACAGTTCCCTCCAGGGTACCCCTGTTCCCCACCCCACCCCATCCTTCAACTGGTTGGCCTCTGAAAAACATGCTGTGAAAAGGACTGGTTCTATGACCCAGGGAGTCTCCATGGAGGGTACCCCAGTCCCAGAGACCCCACAGGTCCCCCTGAGCCACTCAGGAAGCCTGCCTCTCCTCCTCTTCACACTCACTCTCATCGGAACCCCGGAAGGCCACGCGGGTCTGCAGGCAGGAGTCTATCCGACGGAAGTGGCGGAAGAGTGGCTTCACCTGCTTGCTGGGTGGCTGGCTCTCCTCTGGGATCCTGGCATGGACACAGCTGGGCATGAGGATGCCCCACCCGGCATATTGAGGGCCAGGCAGACAATATCAAGGAGGGATATCAGAATTGGGTCAAGGATGCACCGGCATCAGGTTCAGAGAGTGGTAAAGGGGGTCAGAAAAGAGGACAGTGGCCAGTTTGGGACAACTGTCTGAGTGACCCAGGTCAAATGCCACCTCTGCCATGAATTCTTCTCTACCCACTCCACCCACCAGGAAAGGTCACCTTTTTGTCTCAACTGGTATAGGGATATTGGACTAATATTTGTTTATGTTCCTGTCTTATCTCTTCTACAAGATTGAGAGCTTTTGAGGGCTGGGATTAGTTCTTACTGAATTTTTTTTTCATCCTCCAGGCCTAGCACACTGCCTGGCACATGGTAGGTGTAGGTCATCAACTGCTGAATTTTGCCGGCAAGAACTTCACAGTCTGGGAGGGAGACAGATGTGCAGACAGCTACTTCTAACCAAGGCAGGAGGTGTGTGGTGATGTAATAAAGGTACAAGGAGAGTTATGTTGGTATGGGGGAGGGACAGGTACTGCTAAAAGGTGGATCTGGGAAGCTTTCACTGAGAAGATGGCATTTGACCTCTTTGAAGGACAACAGGAAGAGCAGGGCGTGGGAGGAGGGCACTCTGGGGGGGGACCATATAAATGACAGCAGGAAGGTGGGACCCACAGGACTTCAGGGAATGGTGGGGTGTAGAGGGAGTTTCATGGGGGAAGGGGGATGTGGGAGGTGAGATGGGAAGGATCAGCAGAGGCAGAAAGAGAAGGGCTGGGATGTTGCAACTCTTTCTCATAAGCAAAGGGGGTGCTGTGGATGTTTCTGGAATGGAAGCACAAGGTTGTCAAGTTTGAGATCTCTCTGGTGTCAGCATAAGAAGGAAGAGAAAGTTACAGAAGACCGTAAGCTGAAGCCCTGGGTAGGAGGCTGTGGCGATAGTCCAGGGAAGGAATTATGAGGCCTAAATGAGGGGTGTGACGGTGGGAGGGAGTCAAGAGAAACTGAAAGGGCTGAAAAGATGGAGGGATGGGTGCAGTGGTGTCCTGAAGCTGGCTCACATTGGCTCATGAGAGCAGATTGTTCATTTTGGGGGAATTTTGCCAACTGGTTTTAAACACATGCACTAAAATATTACATATATATATTATGTATACATATATATAAACTTACACATGTATAATTATATATAAACATATATGTGTTTTATAAATTTATAGCCAAATTATTACCCCAAAAGTAGTTTCCTAATTGTTTTACTACATTTTGCTATTATCCATGCTTTTCAGGTTATTTACATTCTATTGGATTTGTGTGTGTGTGTTGGGGGTGGTAATTAGGCTTATTTACTTAATTATTTATTTGTTTACTGGAGATACTGGGGACCAAAACCAGGACCTGGTGCATGCAAAGCGTGCACTCTGCCGCTGAGCTATACCCTCCCCTCTCTACGTCTATTGGATTTATATAGTGAAAATAACTATGCAGTGGCCTGCTACTGCACATCTCTTCCCAACTTCACATTCAGTGACGTCATGTTGGTAACTTGAAATCAACTGTGGTGAGAGAATTTACATCATGGGAATCAGCAAAAGCTACAAATCAGGGCTC